GGAGAAAGATTAGAATACCTATGGAGCAAATGAAACCAAAGCTTAGAGCCAACCTCCGAAAGAACAAACGAATGGAACAGCAATTCAACAAGCGGCACGGTGCATTGCCCAGAAGGTTTAAGGTGGGACAAGCGGTAATAACAAGAGATTTCACGGGAGTAAAGCCAACTTGGAAGTTTGGCATAATAATACGAAAAAAAGGGAAAGTTATCTACGAAGTAAAAGTTGGACAAAAGATATGGGTACGGCATGCAAACCAGATACAGCCAACCAGACAAGGACGAGAGACAGAAAATGCTACAAAGTCGAATATACCAATAAATATATTAACTGAGTCGAATAATGGAATTAGAAATGATCCGAATAATAACAAGACGTGTGAAACACTTCCGAGGAGGTCGCAGCGCATCAGACGAAAACCCAATCGAATAAAAATAAATCCTAAGGATCATTATTATCACTAATGCTTCGAAAAAAAAAGGGGAGGTGTTATATCCGGTGAGGATTAAACCACAGGTAAATTCCAAGGACTACTAATGGACTAATATTCTTATTGTATAACTATTCAACAATTACACTATGTATATTTATATTCCTTTTATAATAAGCTTTATTTTGACCTATAATTTATTATTGTACGATTTACGGTTCTTAAGTTATGTTCAGTTTATTAACTACTGCCTCCCACATTCACAGCCACTTTTTGGGCTTATTTGTGTACAAATATTATTTCCTATTTTATGGTACGTTGCGGTCTGTCTGATTGATATATAAACCGGGTGTGTCTGAAATAAACGATCTGCTCTGATTCGGAAGCTGGTGTCTTGTTCTGGACTCGAGTGGAAGGGCTCGTAGGTCATAGGACCAATAAGGACGCTAAACTGCCCACACCGGTTGAACGTCATTGGTTGGCCTAGTGTGAAGATTCGTATAAGTCGTATTCGGATTGGTAGATAAATCGCGTGATCGAAAAGTCAGACATCCAAGGTCATAACAGTTTACGTGTCACTGTAATCGATCGATAAGTACGCTGCTCTCTAATTTTCCAGTCAAGGATACAACAATTAGCACAGGGTAAAAATCGACAGCAACCTAAAGCCATAACAGCGTGTTACTTCCACTCCTTCTAAGTCTATACAGTCCTTCAAAAGCAAACAAAAAAGATGTCCCCTTTGAAGCCCATATAGTAATACGTAAATAATTGACTCTATCATAGGACTGCTAAATACCAAGATGGAATTCTACAAACATTTAGAAATTAGCTCGATGGATATATCACACTTGACCTATTTGATTTTAATGATTCAATTACTGATTTCAATGCAACCGTAAAGACAATGATATCATTTGACATAGGTTCTGATTTTATAAGTGTTCCCACCATATGTCATCGTCTTGTAAACAACAACCTCGATATTGTCGTCCCAAAACACAATCTAAATAAAATTCTTCTAAGATGTACCTTTAATCTCTAGTTTAGATTTAATAATAAGTTCTATGGATAAAATAATAAAATTCACCACTAAGCGCTATTCAAGAGGACTTTCTGTTGGTTGATTTGAAGAATACGATGATTCAACCAACAATCAAGAGCTTTCAATTATGCAGATGTATGGATGACACGTTCATCATCAGTGACTTTAATCTTATTATGGATAGATTCAAAAGATGTCTTTTCCAGGGATTTCACACAATTGGTTTCCGCTATGAGGTTGAATAAATCCAGGACAAATATTGATGTGGACTAATATGGATTCCCTATATTTTATGGTTCCTCATCAGCTGCTTACAACTATATATGCATTGAAAGTTAACATTGAGGTAAGATATAATGTAACTTAGATTAAAGAAAATCAGAATGACCAAGGCTACCAATAATAACTATATATATTCAAAAGCTGTCATAAGTCAGTTAAATTCACAACAAAAGCAGAAATGAATTAGGAATTTCATTTTCTTGATGTCCTATTAAAAAGAGGGCTAGATGATTCGTTACAAAGATTTATACATAAAGAACGAACTTGAAATTGCCAATATACTAATTTTCAAAGCTGAGTTAAATGAAACAGAAAAAGAACTAGGTTCTTCTTTACTTTTGAGAACTAGAAAAACATAATTCTAAGATACAATGAACGATGAACTACTCTAATTCCGACAAGTACCCATCAAAAAACAGCTATCCGACCAAGTTTACTGAAGGAAATTTGAAATTAAAACTACGACCTGAAAAACAACACCTACAGTTCTAAAGAAGGCTCTCTTTTTGAAAATTGAGTTCAAGGAAGATAGTGCAGCAAAAAATCTGCATAATAGATTTGTAAATATTCGAGAAAAAACATCTGTGATTAGACATTAAGAAATAACAAACATGATTCAAGAGAGTCGGCAGTAAAACATTCCTCTTATTATATTAATGGAAACGCTGAACATATCACTACTATTGCAGAACAAAGACATGGGCAGAAAGTTTTATAACTTGTGGCCTTGTAGCCCTATCAATATATGACATAATGAAACCGCTAATTAGAAAACAGTGAATTATCGACCAGACCAATGACGCATAAACTATTACGAGCAGTCTAGGGTCTTTATCAGTTTTTGTGCGTGTTGATGGTTAAAAGATCTTTGTTTTCATCAGATACAGGGATTTGTAAATAAGCATCTGACAAATCCAATTTCGCAAAATACCTGCCACCGTTCAGCTTGATGAAGAGACCATCAGGCAAAGGTGAAGCGTACTGGCGAAACTCTAGAGCTTCATTTAATCTGGTGGAGTAATCTGCACATAAGCGAACGCTACCATTAGACTTCTTGACCACCAATATTGGTGAAGCCCAACCGAAGTTCACAGGCTCAATAACACCCATTTTCTGAGGCCGTTTAATTCCTGTCCAACTAATGAAAGGGCAGCATAAGGCACAAACCTCTTAGGTCGAAAAACGGGAGTAGCTCCAGGTTTGAGGGTTAGTAATGCTTTGGCTTTCGTACATCCTCCCAATCCTTCTGTAAACATATGGTGGTGTCTTTGTAGCACGGCATTTTTCTGGTTACTCTACTGTCCAATAGTAGCATACCACGTTGACATTCTAGAGATCCACCACGTTCTGACTGGATGGAAACTCTTCGGCTCCTTTAGAGCCTCTGGAGGCTCCGTCGTAGCACTCGGAAGCCGTCCTAACAGAAAGAATGTTTATGGAGAGAAATTATAATATTGATATAATATATGTACATGCTCTTCGATCATCTTGCAGTATGTTCTGTGATCCAAATTATCTTCTCTTCTGGTCTTTGAGTATTCTGCCTACCTCCCGCTTTATACGCCATGGTGTTATCCATTGAGCTACCGAATCCAGACAGTCACTAGACTATACCAAGACTGTAAATGTTACTTGTAAGGGCTTACGGTTTTCGCTGACTGAATCGAAAGATACTAGGTTTGAGTCTCATTACAAACATCAATACTGAGATGCAGGTACATCTATCTGATGAGTCCCATGTGGGATAAAACGTGCGTCCTAGATTCCAATAATAGACACTATCCGTTTCAAAGAGTGGAGACAATTACAATCCATTCTTCATATTGTACCGATTTTTTCGTTCTCCCAAACAAGTGCCTTATAAATATGATAGATTATAAAAATAGATCTCAGTAGTTGGTAGCGTTATCATATATACTTATTTTGTTGATTTTTTGGGTGGTATTAAAATGTTAGTAACAACCCAATACCGACTAGAACGAAATCGGAATAATTTAATTAGATTTTAGACGATCTAAAACAGGGGAATCCAGGATGTAGATTTTTTTTACTTTAGACATGTCAGATATATGTACCTTCAATTATATCGACGTCCATACTGAAACTTGAACTCAGAACTCGTCAATTCAAACGTCACAAATTTATCACTTATTCAACAGTTATAATATACACATCCACATATTTTGTGCCTGAAAACTTATACAGTGACTTCGTAACTGCTTACTAGTCCCGAAAACTCCTACCCTTGGACGGCGGATAGGACAAAAAACAGGAACAGAATACAGGAAACTTTACTTCCCAATTTATCTTCTGTACAGAAAATAAAGAGCCATATGTGACCTTGAAATTCCGAAAGCCTAAAAACGCTTGTTTGAATTAGTAAAAAATCCGGTACGCGCGTAGTCAGAATGATAAACTGTCTTTTCCTAGATTTCTTTTGAAAGTTTCTAAAGAACCTTGGTTGATGAAATTATTTCTAGCATTCTTTGGTTCTTTAAAGAATTACTGAGCACCCCTCCTCGAATATACACATCCCTCACAAGACAACGGAATCACTTCATTCCATTGTATGTATACCAAGAGACACAACAGCAAAGGAGGATAAATGACATCGTTTACAAAATAAATTGCACCAAACGAGAAATATTACATTAAACAAACTAGTTCCCCTCTGCACATAAGCATAAATAAACATAAATTAGCAGTGAGGCGATATGATGTACTATCACGGATATTAATGCAGGCGGATGACAATGGACACGCATTTGACTGGGGAAGTCGAAAATCTGGATCAGGAAAACTAGGAATCTCAGAGGACATCTAGAACCCAATGTATGGACTCATACGGAAAAGTCAGTCCGTAAGAAAACGAGGGACAATAAATAAAGACAGCATGAATATAATCGTAGATGAAGACAAAAGCTACGAAGACAGACAATCGAATACATGGTCAGCAGGACGAAGTGATATGACGCATGTAAAATGATTGAAAATCTTTTGTGTATAAATTAGGCTCTAAAGATAATGACAATCAAAGCTCCGCAATTGAACCATCTACCTCGGGAAATACAACAAACATATATATACGTAATTTGTTGTATGGGTTCCACTGTTAGCATCTATTCCATATATCACTACAGATTGTAAATCCTAGTAATGCTGAAATAACCTTTCAAAGAGGGAGATTAAATCCAGAAAGAAAAGGAAAAATAAATTAAAATTTAACACAAAAAAGAAACATACTTTAACACATCATATGTATCAAGTAAACCAAGAAATTTTGTCGGAAATGCAATAGCATAATTGGCGAATGCGTTTAATTCACCTGGATGTATTTGATCTGAATGATATTTTAATACACGAGATAAACTAGCAGACCAATACCAACAACGTTTCAAAAATTCATTCAATTTCATTGGTTGACGGTTTAAGTCTAAAAGGTGATCATCATATGAGTTATTTAGATCGGCGGCTTCTCTTCTGAATTTTCCGAAATCATTTATACATTCCCCTTCCTAAGAGCGAAAAGAAACATTTCGAAACATCGTAACTTTAAGAACATACAAACATACAGAATAATTATTATTCATAATCTAATTATACATAGATAATTCTGTTGAACTGTAAATAATTATCGTAACTCAAAATGCAAGACTAATGTATTAACCACTAAGTGTTTGAAACGACAAAAATTATTAGAGTTTCGGTAAAGGGATTAACATTGACTTTATTCTAGCTGATACTAACCATTTGTTGTGACAGAAATAAAATCGTGTATTCGATATTCTATCATTGAAATTCAACTATAAAGTTATTGATGATAATGTCGTTCAGAACGATGAAAGCTCTACAATCAAACCATCCAGCTCATAGAACAAGACTCCATCAGAAAGATGATAATATCAATGAGCTCGTCATCGGTAACCGAAGTTTACATTCAAAGTGCTTTGTTACAGATGAAAGAAATTGTGATGTACATTTTCTCTTGAAACGCTTTAACTGTTACCACAATAGTCTTACTGTCTTCAAGTAACAGCAGTTTCTCTAGTAAAACTAAAAAGAGATAAAAGTAAGGCAGAGTAAGTTAATATGATTGCATTACAGAGATTAATGAGAGAGATTATATTTGATACCGGTAGCGTATATATGCTCCTAGCTCGAAAAGAAATAAATGATGTATGAATGTGCTACAAGCACTGGTTATTATTAGAAAGAAAAAACATCATAAATTAACTCTCCTATCTTATAGATCAAATATCGGAAATGAGCAGTTGAAAAGGATTAAGACAACTATCTTATCCCATTTTTCTCCCGATTAGTATGACAATCCATACGGTAAAAATAATCTACAATGTTTGGTTAAATAAAACTTATTGTCACATATGACCGTTTTAACATAGACTTGCCACTTACATAAGAAGATTGAAAAGCTGACACAAATGAATGTGCATGTGTCCCAACAACTGGAATTCCATATATTTTCCCAGCTAGAACATTACTAGTTCCATCATAACCTATAGTAAAAAATATGTAGATATAAAGTGAAACGATTTGCTTGATAAAATATAACTTAGATTACGAAATGAAAATAAATATTTTTGTAACCATCAGAAAAAGATCGCTAGTTTTTTTTACATACATATGTAGTGCCTTTGACTAAAAAGATTCCATCCCTTGAACAAAAATATCAAGACTGTTCATAAGTAACAAAATCCTTTTTAATCTATTATTTGCGTTCCAATTAATTCATTACAACCACTACTTGAGGTTAGCGAAACTTAAAGATATAACAGATGCACGTGAATAGCCTAATATTCATATATTCACATGTGTCTTAAATAAGTGATCAATTTATGGTAATCGACGTCATCTTGTTTATCCCTCGATGTGAATGAAATTCTATCGTTAACGTGTCAGAATGACCGAACCACTGCGATAAAGTGAGCAGTGTTACACTTAGAAAACTTACTTCCGTTCGGAAAACCTGTCTTTACACAACAAATATGACTTAAATCCTGGCATATGAATCTGTGTACTTGGCTACTGAGTTGAGTAATATTTCATTACTTAAATATTGTCCTAAATAATTTACGGGTCAACGAGTAATTATATTCTATAGAAACGCTATGAATACTAATAACATCGAACCCCTCTTCAAAATTCGAATATGTGGAACGAATATAATAATAATAATAATAATAATAATATAATAATATAATAATAATAATAATAATATCAATGACGTATTAACAATAATAATCAATAATCATACCTCCTAAATATGCATACTTTGAAGCTGAGAGTGCACCATCTGGTCCTTGAGCACGACGTAAACCAAATTCATATAATTTTTTACTTGGACCACAAGCCAGACGGTAACGTGTAGCATTCGTAGTCACTAGGCTACGGATAAAAATATATGCGTGTACATCGATAAAATACTTAAAAACTACTACTAGCAATCAAAACAGTATTGAAATCGGAGCTTGGAACTTAAAAGCCGCAAAATTGCAGCTTACTGAAGTATGGATAAAAGCTTGCCTCCAACATATTTCATTTTCGTTGATGAATAACGTAATTAACCAAAATATGAGATATCCAAATATCGACGACAGAAAAAAGACTTTTCAAAATCTTTTTACGCCGATTAATCCCGTCTAGAGTCATTTATGTAAAATAAAAACCCTAATTTTCAGCACCTTTAAAATTAAATAGTCAAGAAATACATTTTTATTAATTAAAAGGGTTTCTAAAAATTGTTGAGCCATATGGTTTATAGCGCTGACTGACCATAGGAAGACAACTAATAAGACCAAGAAGCACTGAGTGTGTCTCGTCCTGATACGGTACTCTTCAATACTACGTACCCACGACCCCACCACAGGAGACTCGACCCAGGACCTCCAGATCCCGCGGTGAGTGTTTGACATTCGGACCCCTGAGTCGGTTTCCAATGGTTAACGTCTCTAGCTTTCACCAATTAGCCATATTGAGCAATCATCCTCCAATACGCCCGTAGGTAATTACATCACATACGACACGGTTCAACTCCATCGCTCACTGATGGGTACTCTGGTCTCTGGACGAAACAGCTGTCCAAAGTCTCCTGGTTTTGAACTGTTGTTTGACTAGGGTCAGTTCTTGATGCAAACTATGAAACCTATTCATGTCCACGACAATTATGTTGCGCTAAATATTCGAACTTGGCTTCTGTGATTAGTTTAAAGACGCTATGTGTATAGTTACGGATAAGTATTACCGAAGTTCTCAGTCCTACATGAATTCCAATGGTTCTTCAGTTGATATTAGTTTTAATTAAAAAAAGAACGTTTTTGGTTCAGATCATGAATCGATTAATGTTAGACCACCATTGAAAACCTGAAAGCGTTGGACGGCCGTTTCGTCCTAGTATAGGGCTCCTCATCAGTGTGTATCCACGATCCCGAACGCTGGATTTGAGTCCAGGGCCTTCGGTTTCGCGCACTAATCCGTGTCAGGTAGAGACAGGTATCTACCTCAGACAATGAAAGATGACCGCAACGGCCGTCTAGTGCTTCCAGGTTTTCGATGGTGGTCTAACATTCATCGATTCATGATCTCAATCAAAAGCTAAACAATCTCCGCAACCCCATACTGAAAAAAGTAGTTATCGGATCAAACTAATATCCACATACACATAAACCCGACTAAACAACCGATGTTTATAATCTCAATAAAAAACCTGTAAAGAATTATATAGTCCTCTGAACATCTAAAATATATCACATACTACAAACCAGTCGTAAATATTCCTTAAAATCGACAAGACACTAAATGCTCGTGTATATTAAACTGAGCAGTGGCTTATTGGTCAAGGTATTCAGTATTCAATAGCTGATATGTAGGATGAAACAATTCTGCCTCGCTTTGGTATATGAGTAAGTTGTAAGAAAATTAGAAGCTGAACCAAAACGTAGAATCAGATCATGGAGCCATTGATTAATGAACAGGACCAAGTTGGTAGATGCAAACTACCTGCTTGAGGTTCGTGTAACTATCGTAACCAACGGTTGCACACATTGAGTGACACGGCTCAGAATCGGTCATATTAGCGCAGAAACATTTACTCCCTACTTTCCTTTACATTTCCAGTTCCAGTATTATCCTTTCATTTTGTCGTTTGGAACTATATTTTCAATGTCCCATCTTTATAATTATTACTACTACTATATCACTTTGATTTCATTCATACCGTTCACCTTGCCGGGCTACTGTGGCACGGAAACCTGGGGAAACCCAGATATATATCAGGCTCTACAGTCATTATGACTGTCTGACTGGTTTATGCACGATGGTAGTGCCAAGGTATATATATATATATATATATATATATATATATATATATATATATATATATATATATTCAAGTGGAGTACATGAATGTACAATTGAAATATGATATATAAATTAATCATTCCAGTGAAATGATAGTGAAAAAGAGATACGCATATATTAATTACCTCGCATAATTAACCAAATTCAATAATGTAGATTCTACAAGTTGACATAGTACTACTGGTCCTTCAATTCGCATAATAGGAACTTTTGGAAAAACAACTGAACATTCTTTAACAGACCATAACAATAATCCCTTTGTATCAATACTAAGCAAATAATCAAAGAAATCAGGATCAACAGTTGATGGCATAATTTTTTGCAAATATTCAACATCTAATAATGTTATTTAGAAGTATAAAAGAAAAATTGATAAGATTTAGAGTTTATTGTAAAAAAAACTAGTATTACATTTCAGGAAAAAATGATGAATCAACATGCAACATATTACTATAGTTAATATAAAGAGACTTTGGAGATTGTTGGACTTCAAAGTTTACTGATCGAACTGACCTAAGATAGACAATCGATGAGAACCGTGAGGCAATGGACAGCTGTTTATTTCTAGTATGGAAGCTTTCAGCAATGCTTATATATATTCGTTTATTGAATTTACTTGGGGTTGATGTATTATTTTTAGTATATTTTTGAGCTATTACAGTACTTTTGTCAATTATGTATTAAAACCGAACATGTAACACATAAAAAAGCACAGATGTAATAACCCACAAATCACGTTTATTCCAGATAACATGACATAAAATGTAGAATTTTAATCGACACATCTGTTTCACTCACCATCCTGAGTGAATCTAAACGAACTTAAATACTCAATACAATCCTGAAGACCAGCAAATATAGTGAACTCCCCATTGAAAGGATTTTTACGAAAAAACATTTCAAAAGTTGCAGCATCATTGGCTTTTCCAGCTTTCCAATAGGCATACGACATTGTCAATTCATAGAAATCTGAAAGGAGAAAATACACAATTTAGAACAGAAAACAAACTAAATCTTGGGAATATGGTGTAAAAGGTAAAATGGAAGGGTATGGATGAAGGAATACTGCAAGAAAGAGTGATAAGTGAATTCACTCATTTATTTAAACACAAACATTGGTACAAGGCACACAAATCATTCAATTTGTGTGGGAGATAGAATACTGTCAAGGTGCCCAAATCGAGGCAAGTGGTTTTCTTAGAGAGCCAATCCCCGAGCCTTTGACCTAGAGGTCTAATCCACAAGGCAGTGGAACAACGCTAGACTATGCAGTCCCATGGTGGCTGGTGACCAACAATAGGTTCATACACCATTTGTTTTCTCAGGATCCTGGGGCCTTTGTGCACCATTGGTTTGGAATCAGGGTTTTCCGACTCCCCTAGGTGGAATCTCCGTATCCAGCAACCCGGTTAGAACGCCGGACATTCACTTTTCGTCCCTCTCAATTTCGTAAACAATATCCTCGCCATGAGAAGGCAGTGAGCAGGACTTTCTTGGCAGTGGTTGTATACGAGTGTCCATGTGAATTTCGAAGGGAAGGGTTTGACTCTCCCCACACTCGACCGTACCAGGGCTTCATTGCGAACGATTTTGAACCCTCACCCCAAATCTTCAACCACTAGTTGCCTACCTTAACAAGGTAGTCTGGATCTATCAAAATAGTTTAAACCAACAGTTAATGAATTCATGAACTAGTGCCACGTTTTGGTATTAAGAACATTTAAGATTATCAAAACTGAGGAAGTTTTAAATATGTAATAATAAAATGGTCACACGTTCTTTTAGACTAAAGTGAAAACCCTGAAACTAATTTATTCTCTGACCTAGCTTAGTTGGCGAACGTTTTAAAGTCAAACTAATTATTAGTCATTAGTACTGACGAAAAGTTAACTGGTCACTTTTTGCACTAATCGAAACTGTTGTATTTGTCAGTAAAAACAAATTTCGTGCACTTAGATTTGAACGTGTTGACTCTCTAAAAACATAGGATATGACAGAATACTTAAATAATCCCTACTTCTATGTTAGAATCTATTAAGAGTTGAGTGAAGATACAAACAATTTGTTAGTGACAGCAATTTGATGTTTTTGTGTATTTTTTTCCACATTAACTTATACTGTCAAAATAAAAAAATTGAAATTAATCACCAACTGAGAGCAGACTAAAGGTTGATATTTATATAATTAGACTGATAGAGCATCTTACCCGTGAAAATTGGTTGTACTACACCAAAGTGAGATCCCATTTCTTGTGAGAATTATTAAGAATAAGTATTCCTTTAATTCCAACGAAAGGTTATTCTATATGAAGCGCACAAACCAGGTAAGCATAAAATAACATATTAGTTAGAATATGAAACTTAAATGTAAAAGTAAAACAAGAATGTTAAATAGACGTATGTACACATATATACAAGGACGTACATAATTCATTACAATAAAAAAATATACGAAATATCGGCGAGACTCTAATTTAGCGACGAGCCAATCAGAAGCGTTTGAGCAATTTCAAGGTCACGGAGCCAAGTTCAACACGCAATGCTGACATACGGTCGGTTCACAGCGGATTTTAGAGAGGAGGTGATTAATGAGAGGTTAAAACAGACGGGATGGCGAAACTCTAATTTAGGGACGAGCCAATGAGAAGCGTTTGAGCAATTTCAATTATTAGCCAATCAGAAGACAGTATAAAGTGAAAATATATATTACAAGAAAGTAATGAATTACAGTGGATATTCTTCTTTTACATGATTTAAAAACTTGTTGAGGTTTGATAAAGGCTCAGAAGTTCTGAATTCATAATGCATATTGTATAGAAACTCGTCCATAGGGTTAGGGTTTGGGGTTAGATTAGGGTTTAGGGATAAGGTTAGGGTTTGGGGTTAGATTAGGGTTTAGGGTTAGATTAGGGTTTAGGGCTAAGTTAGGGTTTGGGGTTAGATTAGGGTTAGGGTTATGGTTAGGGTTTGGTTAGGGTTAGGGTTTTATTAGGGTTAAGGTTAGGGTTTAGGGTTAGGTTAAGGTTTAGGGTTAGGTTAGGGTTAGATTAGAGTTTAAGGTTAGGTTAAGGTTTGAGTTAGATTAGGGTTTAGGGTTAGGTTAGGATGAGGGTGCTAACATGCGATCGGTTTACATCGGATTTTAGAGAAGAGGTGTCTATTGACAGGCTACAACCCTAACCACTAACTCTATGGACGAGTTTCTATACAATATGCATTATGAATTCAGAGCCTCTGAACCTTTGTCAAACCTTAACAAGTTTTTAAATCATGTAAAAGAAGAATATCCATTGTAATTCATTACTTACAATATATTCTCACTTTATACTAACTGTCTTCTGATTGGCTAATAATTGTCAAGGTCATTTAAGATTCGTTCAAAGGTCGTCGCTAAATTAGAGTCTCGCCGACAAGATGTGATCACCAAAAGTTGGTCTTGGTAATACAGATTCGTTTGCATTGTATCTTTGATGTGTCATATACTAAACAATGACATACAACTCACTAGTCAAGAGGAAAACAACCTAAGTATTATGAAAAACAATCGGATAAATAGGGTAACATGTCGAAAGGTCACAGTAGACAAAAGAACGAAAAAGTCACATTTCAGCGATAGATACAGAGATATGTTACCTAGATCTACTAATCATTAGTTTTTAAAACCTAAAGGACTCCAGTCACAAGGCGTACAATCTTTGACATGTTTCACATCAATAATCAGTAACTTTGATTAATGCTGTTGAGTTCCAGTTGAGTTTTACTTTTCTTAACCGCAGTTATATATTTATATTTGTGCCAATATTTTGTACCAACAACCCCGCATTTATAGACAACGGTTAAGCCAAGTTTCTCGAGAAAAATTCCCAATAAGAACTTTATGTCAGTTATACACTAGTGAATTATCCTTACTCAGGACGTCACAAATTTCGATATAAATAGAAACTTTGAGATACGAAAGGTTATACAAAAGCGAGGAAGCTCATGAGCTTCGAAACAGAGCAAATGAAATAACCGGATAGTTCAGTCTATCCCGTACCAAAAGGTGTGACAATGAGTCTAGTGATTGTTTTGAATTATTTGAGTCAGAACAGTCATGCTATCAATATTGCTGAGTTACCATGAAAACTCACAGTGATGTAAGGACTAGTGTTATTGATGACCTAAGATCTACCTGCTTACACAGTGGTCACTAAAAACTTTTAAACGTTTTTGGTGATCCATAATATTCATTTGCTTAGAGGCTAGAATGTTTATAATGATATAAATTTGATATTTACTTACAACTACTGTAGAGTATACCACCAGGTATTTTTTTTATCAAGACAAACTTTTACATCATTTACGATAAAGAAATTGGGGAAGAGGACAGAACTCTAACAGTAAACAAAACTCCTGATAAAGTAGCAGTAAATTAGCTAAAAACGTCTTTATTATTACACAAAGGGATACTTTGGCTGGTGATACTCAGTTATATTAACAACCATTTTTAATGAGAAGCCGAACAATCATCTACTTAATCATGAACTATTTTAATCTAAATGGATAACAGACTAAACGAACAAGACAACCAGTGAGTTCATTCACCAACACAATGAACTACCCTCAGCGTAGCGACACAAATTATGAAGTCGCCATTTAGTAACAAAAGATGAGCACAAAAGAAATCAGCAATTAGATCCTGTTCACGAGAGATCCTAAGCGATCAAATCAAAACCTCGATATCTGACTCATTAAGCTCCGTTCTAACGAGGTAGTACAAACGAATTGGTATTTTTGATTTCGTCTGTTTATCCCAAAAGACAGTTTTAGGTCATGAGGAGTCTAGTGACAGTAGCCCAACCACTCTGCTGTACTAGATTAAATTAATTCAATAGTTATTTGGAGATTGGTATAGTTTGAGTAGAAATAAGTGCATCTACATCACAGCTGTAGAGTTCCTAAAACCTGCAGTTGTCAAGCTACCTTGTTGGTTGGTGAAGGTAAAACTAACTAGTACGGGAACGTCTCACTTTGAGTATGTATTCAACATATATTTCGGGCAAGGATAGTTAACGCTTAAATACGTGAGTACATAGCCATTTATTAAAGCCTTCCATTGAATAGGTAGTAGTCAAATTGGATGAGACCGTATTCCATATAGGAGACAGACTATTGATTAGCTGCAATATTAAGAGCTTAATATTTTTTTCTTGACCTTGATAGTGAGAAGTGATACGATAACACATTGATCACTTACTTAGAATTATCAGATGAAAACTGCGCGATAACGCAACAGACAAGGGGAAAGCGCCCAGAAAGTCAAAACATTTATAGGTTGCGCCAATTACGTCGTAAGAACTAAAAGCAACGGGATTGATGAAACCGATAACAGCTATATTCATGCTTCAGTAATAAACACGATAGGTTATGTGATCCATTTCAATCTTTGGATTAAGTATTTCTATGAAGATTCAGGTTCTCCTTTAAAAGTGTTCAAATGGGATAAAGAAAGCTTCTTCTTAACGAGCTACCGTGTGTGATAGTAATGGATCACAAAGGATTCCTTTTAGCTCAAGATAGTCAGCGTGTCCGAAGTATGTAAAGGCCAATATAATAATTAAATAAGATCGGCAGAGAGGTAGATAAACAGACAGCTAAACAAAGTTATATTGGGTGCATTCACACGTAAGACGTTTGAATTGGTCACATAACTAAGCAAAAGGTAATCAATGAAACCAGACAGTCATATACTCAGTTAAACCGTGTTTCAAAATGAGTATAAGATTGTGTTCATTCAACATACTGATTACCATGAATCCACATTCCGATTTAGATTTGTGTACTTAGGACAGAAGGTCTGCGGCCTATCTTAATGCTTTCCTAGTAAGCTTCTGAGAGTGTCTACTCTTCTCATGAACGAGTTAAATGAGGACGAAACACCACTTCTTTGGATAACAGGTTTCAAGAATTGATGAACCATTGTGAAAACCATAATGATATGAGTATTTTGTTCATTCTTGGCTTTTTTACTCGCCTGTTGTGTCTTAGCTGTTATAGTCAAGTAGGAAGAAAAGGAGCAAATATGTCAGGTCAAAAATTATTTCTTAGTATTCTATATATTAAATCTGCGTAAGACAGAGTAATGAGGTCTGGCTTATCAAGCCGCGATTTATATGGCAAGCTCCGGAGTTCTGAAGTCACACGCGTAGCTGCCTCCTGTACTCATTCCATGATGTCCGAATCACCTTTTAAACGAGGTTCTGTACTCCTTAGTCGTGACTTCGCGGTGATCAGCCATATTTTCAGGATTATAAATCAATTTCACTCCGTGATCCTTGCTATACCTGTCTACAGGCAAAGACTCACCCCCTATGTTATACTTACTTTTGTATCTCGGTTAAAGTCACTTGCTAAAAGGCTTTTACACCTCTTTGACCAGGATTGAAGTTTAATTAGAATGAGGCCATCCACTGCATATTCTGGATTGCGTCATACTATATGTTCGATTTCTTGACCCTGACATTTCAGCCGGCAGCGTTTCAGTTCAGATGTCGATAAGTCGTATGACAATGTATCGAAAGCTCGTATAGTCAGGCTCTTTTCACGTACAAGATAACCTCACCACTGCCGTGGTTTAGTCTGTCAGCCCTACAAAGTAAAGAGTCAAGCACGTCACTATCATGCGCTTACGAAGATTCTCAGGTGGCAATGACGCCAAGGTTTTCTGCATCCACCAAGTTTTGGGGCTCCAGCACTTTAGCTAGCAGGTTGCAAGCGTTTGTGTAGTATACCTTTAATTCTGTGAAAACTCGTTCCGTACCGCCATGTGTGGTTTTCCGATCATTGTGCTACTGAGCCCATTTATTTCCTCCTCTGCTGACCGTTCCTCAATATGATCACTCAAACTGAGGTCCTCACTACATATGTTCCGGACCCCGTCAGTTTGTGTGAATTTTCTACTGTTATATCTCTTTATTTAGTGGAAACAAAAGTAGATTTTAAGACACAGCTTGTCTGTGTATATTCGTAACCTGATTTTGTTTCTATTCCATAAAGCTTATGAATGACAACTCCTGCTTAATTTTCTGGAAGTAGCTTACCTATAAAGGACTTGTTGCAGCTTAGATCATGTTCAAATCTACCCTTTGATTCCTCTTCGGATGGCTATTTTAGCTTATGAAAAATGACAAACCTCTAAGTGAAATCCATTTTGACAAGCTATGAGGTTTAGCTCCCTAAACGTTTCTCATTCATACAGTCGGATTTGA